CCAGTAAAGCAGAAAAAGAGACATCATGGCGTGGAAATGGACAAAATAATCGAGCAGGAGGTCGAAAAGTTGTTAAATGCCTGACATATCAAAAGGATCCAGTTCCCAGAATGGTTGTCTAACATAGTGATGGTGTCCAAATCAGGGGGAGGTGGAGGATGTGCATCGACTTTCGCGACCTGAACAAGGCGTGCCCGAAGGATCTATACCCATTGCCCCGGATCGACCAGCTGGTAGATTCCACGACGGGATGTGAGCTGCTCAGCCTGATGGATGCCTCACTAGGTTACCATCAAATCCCCTTGGCGAAGGAAGATTGGAAGAGGGTGAGCTTCATAACGAGCAAAGGCACCTATTGTTATGTAGTTATGCCCTTTGGATTGAAGAATGCTGGGGCAACTTACCAAAGGCTGGTCGATCAGATTTTCAAAGACCAATTGGGGAGGAATATGGAGGTATATGTCGACGATATGCTGGTTAAGAGCAAAGTGGAGGCGGATCATGTGGGAGACTTGAGGGAAACTTTCCAAACGCTGAGGAGGTATGGCATGAAACTCAACCCAGCCAAGTGCTCATTTGGTGTGAAAGCAGGGAAATTCCTGGGCTATATGGTGACGAAGCGGTGAATAGAGGTGAACCCTAAGAAGGTGAGAGCGGTGATCGAGATGAAGCCACCTGCCAACGTGAAGGAGGTTCAAATACTAACTGGTCGAATAGCGGGCTTAAGCAGATTCATCTCTAAGGTGGCCGAGAAGAGTGGTCCTCTGTTCAAAACATTGAAGAAAAGCTCGAAATTTCAGTGGACGGAGGAGGCCCAGAGAGCTTTCGAGGAATTGCTGGAGGTGTTGGTAAATTTGCCCTTACTAGCTAAGCCGATACATGGGGAAGAGCTCGTGCTCTACATATCCGTGGGCGAGAACGCAGTAAGATCGGTGTTGTTGCGCGAGGAGGGAGTGGCGCAGTTCCCGATATACTATGTTAGTTGAGTAATGCAAAGAGCGGAGTTGAGATATTCGGAGATTGAGAAATGCGCATTGGCGGTGGTCGTGACGGTTCGAAAGTTGAGGCCATATTTCCTAAACCACAGAGTCAAGGTACGGACGAACATGCCTCTGGAACAAACTTTGGGTCGACCAGCAGTATCAGGTCGATTAGTGAAGTGGGCGGTCGACCTGAGCGAATACTCTATCATATGTATGAGCCAAGGAGGGTGATCAAAGCGCAAGTTCTGGCTGATTTCATCCAAGAGGGCACGAAGGAAGAGGAGCAAATGGAGGGAGTGTGGCAATTGTTTGCAGATGGCTCAGTTTCGAGAAGTGGAGCAGGCTTGGGCATAGTCCTGGTTCCACCCAAGGGAGATTACTTGGAGTTTGCTGTTAAGATGGGTTTCGGATATCAAACAATGAGGCAAAGTATGAAGCGGTGATAAAGGGGTTGCAGCTAGCTCTAGCCGGAGGTGCTCGAAAAATTCAGGTCCACTTCGATTCCCAGTTGGTGGTCGGACAGTTCCAAGAGGGTTTTAAAGTCAAGGAGGACAGGTTGCAACGTTATGTGGACGATATGAAGAGACTAAAAGAAGAGTTCGGGTCGTTTGAATTAATACAGATACCAAGAGGGGAGAATGGTCGAGCCAATTTATTGTCTAAAATTGCTCAAAATTTGGGAGATTGTAAGAGCAGGAGTGTGACCTTGCTCCATATGGAGAAGAGCGTGGTCAAAGCGGAAGTGGCAGAGATCGAGGAGGTAGAAGACTGGAGGGCCTCGATCTTGAAAGAGCTGCGGGAAGGAACGGTAAAAGTAATGAGAAAGTTTTTCGAGCAAGGAGGGATCCTCTACAAGTGGTCGTATGCAGGGCCACATTTACAGTGTGTGATCAAAGAGGAAGGCCGATATGTACTTAGAGAGGTGCACGAGGGATGCTGCAGCGATCACAACAAGGCTGGAGCCATGGTCGCAAAAATTTTAAGAGCATTATATTTCTGGCCGGCAATGAAGGCAGATGCCAAGGAGATGACCAAGAGATGCTTGCAATGCCAGAAACACGGCCCGCTTATCCACCAACCTGCTGAGACAATGACCACCATGAGTGAACCAATCCCATTCGCGCAGCGGGGAGTCGACCTGGTGGAGCCAATGCCGCAGGCAACGGGGCAACGAAAATTCTTGATCGTTGTGGTCGATTACTTCACGAAGTGGGTGGAGGCTGAACCATTAGCTAAGATCACCGAGGAGAAAGTAATCCAATTTCTATACAACAACATTTGCTGTCGGTTCGGTGTCCCGAAAGTCTTGATATCTGATAATGGAACCTAATTCAACGGCAAGCGGGTTAGGGCGTGGTGCGAGGAGATGGGAATCGAGTAGCATTTTGTTTCTGTCGCCCACCCGCAGGCCAATGGACAAGTGAAGGTGACCAACAGGATCATCCTAAATGGGCTTAAAACAACACTCGAGAAAGCCTTGGGGGCGTAGGTCGACGAGCTAACATCTGTACTCTGGGCGTACAGGACCACCCCGAGGTCGACCACAGGTGAGACGCCTTTCAGCATGGTATATGGAATGGAGGCACTTCTGCCAGTCGAGTTGGAATTACAATCCCAGCGGTCAAACGCCTACAACCAGGAGCAGAATGAGGAGCTCATGTTGACTGCTTAGATACGATCGAAGAACTCAGAGAACAAGCCTCGACCAGAGTGGAGGTGTACAAACAGCGGATGAGAGCAGCACATGATAGGAAGGTGAAGATCTGCCGATTCCAGGTGGGCGATCTGGTCTGGAAGAGGGTAGACGTGCTCAAGCACGTAGGCAAGCTGGAGCCTAATTGGGAAGGACCATACTTGGTTGAAAAGGTCCATGCAGGAGGAGCATATTCCTTGAAGGACGCTGAGGGCAGATCACTAGCCAGGTCGTGGAATGTAGCTAATCTTAAAAAATATTATGTGGGAACTTTTCTGTTTCCTTTTCATACTCGGGCAATTGGATTAATGTAATTTTGAAGAAAATTTTATTCAAGGATTGTCAAAATGATCGACTTCTATATTACTGGATTATTTTCATATCTAGCATCAGCTTCTTACAACGTGTCATTTACAAGTTTGGTTTGGTCCATTTA